ATAGATAGATAGATAGATAGATAGATAGATAGATAGATAGATAGATACTACTACTACTACCACTACTACTACTACTACTGCCACTACTATTACTACTACTACTACTACTACTACTGCTAATGATGATTATAATAAAAACAACAACAATGAAAACAACAATAATAATACAATTATGAGGAAATGAAAAATAGTTTCAAGTAATAAAATGCAATAGAAAATAGTCCTCATATTAAACTCTGTTCAGACGCATCCGTTCAACAACCCTGTAGAGAAGGGGACAAAAGAGTTTTTGAATTGCTCCGTTCTGCAGCTCCATGACAGGAGCCTGTTGCTACGTTTACTCCTCAGAGCGGCCACTGTGTCATGCAGAGGATGTTTGTCATTAATCAGGATGCCCCACATTAAAGGCCCCATCCTCCTCTCCAACACAGCTCCCACAGAGTCAACGTTCCTCCCCATCACGGACACACATTTATTAATCAGTTTGTCCAGCCGGTTTCTGTCCCTTGTGGTCATACTGCCACCCCAACAGCAAACCCCAAAGAAAACAGCACTCGCATCAACATACTGACAAAAAAATTAACAGTATTTCACTGCTCACATAAAATGATATGAGCCTCCTTAGGAAGAACAGCCTGCTCTGTCCCTCCTTTACTTGTACTGACCTGCCCAGCTTGTCATCAAGGTGTACCCTAGGATACTGGTATGTGCAGACCACCTCAATATTTTACTGACGGATTGATAAGAAGGCTTCCTGCCAAAGTCAATGACCATCTCCTTGGTCTTTGAGATGTAAAGGTGGTTATGAACATGGCACACTGCAGATTTCCCCCTTGGAAGCAGAGGCTGGATTGCATTGAAGGCTCTTGTAAAATAAAAAAAACATCATCCTGATGTAAACCTCCTGCTCCTTAACTTGTGCCCCCCTGCACTCCAAAAGACCTTCTCATCAGGTAGAGTCTGCTCTGACCCTTTCCTGTAAAGTGCATCAACGTTGCGAGTCTGGACCAGTTTATTGTTCAGGTGAACACCAACAAACTTATAAGAGTCCACTCTTTCAATGCCCACTCCCTGGATGTTCACCAGTGACAGTGAGGTGGGTTTGCCAGTGTAAGTTCCTTGATTTTAGAAGCCTTGACCAGGGGTTGGTTTCATTGGCCCACGTCCACAAAGTCCTGAGTCCACCGTCTGTACTCTTGAGTCGTCCTCACCTGTGGTGAGGCAGACTATGGCAAAGTCATCAGATAACTTTTACAGATGGCAGTGCAGGGAGTTGATGGAGAATTCTGCAGTGTAGAGGGTGGAGAGGAACGGTGCCAGCACAGTTCCCTGTGGGACCCCTTGTACTTCTGACCGGCTGTCTGAGACACAGCTGTGTGTCCTCACATACAGTGGTCGGACAATTTTTTAATGTTAATTCTTATTAATGTAAAAAGTTCACATGGTACACATGATTATTGGAGCTTTTTATTGTAAAAAATGCGAAACAAGAAAGGTTTGTTGGCTATTTTGAATCTCATTGTCTTCTTTCATATTTAGGTAGAATTTGAAGTTGAATATTTCTCTTTGGAACTTTATCTCAGTTTATTTTTCTTGTAAGGACCAATTAGATATCCGTGATCTGAATTACAATCTAATTAATCTGCAGAATGACTTTGCCACTGCTGTCATTTCTCTCTGGCTCTTCGATGCCAGGCTTCTATTATGTTGACCAGCGTGTAATTATTCAGGCTCACAGATCGCTTGGACTTCAGTGCTCTGGGCAGTGGCCATGTCCCACATCTCTGAGGGTGTGGGTCGCCCAAAGTGCATGCTGTGAGATGGCACAAAAAGCAAAGCTCTTAGTTTCCAGTGCAGCTGCAGTCACTTGTGACCTAAAAATAAGTTACCTGTTTTTTGGGGTTATCTCATCTTTTCTTTACGCATATCTAAGGTACTAATGTTAGATAAAAAACAATATTAAAGGAAATTTAGTTTGTTTAGTATGTAAAACATCCTCAGTTGTGTCTATGTGCTCTTTGTCAAGATATTTCAATTGCTACCTTTTAACCAGATTTTGATTAATATTGTTGTTAAGTTCAGTTATTGTCGCTAAATGATTGCTCAGTTAAAGGAAAACTATATTAATTTCCTTTATTAACTTGAGACATATGTTTTTGGAAATGTATGGATCTCTTCTAATCATTTAAAAAACCTGATCTACAGGACCACTCCAAACAGAACCCATCTCAACAACCTTTTTGTTTTGTGTATAAGCAAAAAACAATATACATTTTTTTGTATAATAATAAATTCAGCAGGGGCTTCAGATTAGAATACTTGTACATATAACTGAATACACAAAATATATACAAAAATTTGTGCCTCAGCATTAAATGTAAAGGTTCGCTTGCTGTTTGCATGTTTAGAGGTACTACAGAAAAATGTACCCTGACATATCTATTAAAACATATTTCCTAATGAATTAAAATCTTTTTCTAAATTTGCACATTTTAGGTACAAACAATACTGCTTTGAAAATGAAGAATTGATTCCAAACAAAGATGTAAAATGGAAGAATATTTGATAGTGCATATACTATAAAAAATATGAATATTACTCAATGAAAACAGTTTGAAAACAGTTTGAAAACAATTAGCAATCCTATTAAGGCGTAAAAGGAAAAACTGTGACATAAAACAAGTTTAGCAAAAGTCAACCAATTGAACACAAGTTTTTTTTAAATTGTACTTTTTAAGTTTCTTAAACAGACAGAGAGAATAATGACATTTCTTATCCAGAAAGATTGCTTGTCATGGCTGTTGTATGAATATAGCCTTAGACTCCTCGTCAGACCTACACCAAGGGCTTTAGAGACACTGTTTGTTTCTGAAGTGAGCAGCTATGCACGTTACTGTCATACAAGTAACCTCTTTACATGTGAAAAGGCAATTAGATTTATCTATTTATATCATTCAATGACACACTCTATTAAAAACCGTAGAAAAGACATATTTTCAAACAAGCCTGACACACTTGTCACAATGTTAAGAATGTTATGACATATTCTTTTTTGAAAATAGACTTTTAGATGTTAATCCTTTTTCATTCGCTGTACTGTCAAGTCACATTAGGAAAATACCAGCTTTAATGAAGGCTTTAGGGAAAAGAATGCAGATGTAACTTATGTGAAACGACCAAAAATAAACTCCTCTGTAGATTATTTTATTTATTATAACTTAACTTCTATTCTACTATATTGAAAAACGTTGCATGAGTCACCCCTACTGGCTTTGTAAGGGTGCACTTTCACATCAGTTAACATTAATTAACATTTCTACAACTGTATGCTGTTTCCATAGTCACATTAAAAGCTTATCACTTGGTGTACACAATATCACAATCCACATTTGCCGTACTGTAAACATATATATATACAGGGGTTGGACAATGAAACTGAAACACCTCTCATTTTAGTGTGGGAGATTTCATGGCTAAATTGGACCAGCCTGGTGGCCAATCTTCATTAATTGCACATTGAACCAATAAGAGCAGACTGTGAAAGTCCAGTTAGCAGGGTAAGAGCACAGTTTTGCTCAAAATATTGCAATGCACACAACATTATGGGTGACACACCAGAGTTCAAAAGAGGACCAATTGTTGGTGCACGTCTTGCTGGCGCATCTGTGACCAAGACAGCAAGTCTTTGTGAGGAATCAAGAGCCACGGTATCCAGGGTAATGTCAGCATACCACCAAGAAGGGCGAACCACATCCAACAGGATTAACTGTGGACGCAAGAGGAAGCTGTCTGAAAAGGATGTTTGGGTGCTAACCCGGATTGTATCCAAAAAACATAAAACCATGGCTACCCAAATCACAGCAGAATTAAATGTGCACCTCAACTGTCCTGTTTCCACCAAAACTGTCCGTCGGGAGCTCCACAGGGTCAATATACACGGCCGGGCTGCTATAGCCAAACCTTTGGTCACTCGTGCCAATGCCAAACGTCGGTTTCAGTGGTGCAAGGAGCGCAAATCTTGGGATGTTGACAATGTGAAACATGTATTGTTCTCTGATGAGTCCGCCTTTACTGTTTTCCCCACATCCGGGAGAGTTACGGTGTGGAGAAGCCCCAAAGAAGCGTACCACCCAGACTGATGCATGCCCAGAGTGAAGCATGGGGGTGGATCAGTGATGGTTTGGGCTGCCATATCATGGCATTCCCTTGGCCCAATACTTGTGCTAGATGGGCGCGTCACTGCCAAGGGCTACCGAACCATTCTGGAGGACCATGTGCATCCAATGGTTCAAACACTGTATTCTGAAGGAGGTGCCGTGTATCAGGATGACAATGCACCAATACACACAGCAAGACTGGTGAAAGATTGGTTTGATGAACATGAAAGTGAAGTTGAACATCTCCCATGGCCTGCACAGTCACCAGATCTCAATATTATTGAGCCACTTTGGGGTGTTTTGGAGGAGCGAGTCAGGAAACATTTTCCTCCACCAGCATCACGTCGTGACCTGGCCACTATCCTGCAAGAAGAATGGCTTAAAATCCCTCTGACCACTGTGCAGGACTTGTATATGTCATTCCCTAGACAAATTAACGCTGTATTGGCTGCAAAAGGAGGCCCTACTACACCATACTAATAAAGTATTGTGGGCTAAAACCAGGTGTTTCAGTTTCATTGTCCAACCCCTGCATATATATATATACATATATATATATATACATACATATTCAGTTTTAAATGCAATATATGCAATATTCTATTATGTTATTATTACAAGTGTTTTTATAATTGATTAAGCATGGGTCTAGGTCGATTTCTCCCATGAAGATGGTTTATTTCATTACATTTTTGTAGCATTCTTGTCGATTTAAATGCGAATCAGTATGTCTATAATTACCAGAGATCAAAGGCGAAGTTTACAACATGATTACCTTTCTTGTAACTTGTACACATGTTCACTTTTAACCAAGTATGTATGCCTTATAGGTTAAAAAAGAGGCTGATACAACCTTATTCTGCCCTATAAGTTATGGAAAACATTTTACTTTTATACACAATGCAGTGGTCTGCATTCTAAATAGCTCATACAAAAAGTGAGTGCGGAACACCTGCAAAGAACTTCTACATGTTCTGTGCAACCAAGGATAATCTTTCATGTGACTTGCTCCTAATTTGTGTGCAACCTCTGTCTAACATTAATTGCCTCGTTAAATCACTGCCAGCAGCCTGACACCAGTGTGAGATTAATAAGATCTCTTTGTGATGTGTAGAAATCCTCTGTGTAGCTGCAGTTTGGGTATTACAGAACACTCTGAAATAGATGAGGAATGCAGGTAACACCGCCTCTGAATTAAACCGACTTTGCAGCAAACTCAAGCTCAATTAATCTCAGCTGATCTCTCAGGACAAGGAGTTATTGTTTTCATCCTCAAATGAATTAATGCTGCTAAAAATAACCAGAAGAGAAGGTATATCGTGGCGCGTATCCACCAATATTTACTCAGCATAGCAGGGCTCTGCATGGTATTTTTGGAATTCCACATGGATATGGCCCCACAGTTACAAATTGGGAAACTACCCAGCCTTGTTTGAACTGGGGCTGAGTGGGGCCGACAGCATCCTACCTTCCTCACTTCCTCTTTTGCAAGTTCATACAATAATGCTGAAAACTAGAGTTTGATAACACCACTGTCTCACTGGGCTTTGGCTTTGCAGACAACTGCTCTTCTGAGTCTTTTTTAAATATGTTTGAAATTTAAGATAAGCTTGTTGTGTATACCGAGAGTAAAATGTTTCACTCTGACATGCATAGCGTTGTCCATTGCAAATATGAGGCTTCCAATTCAGCGTTTAGAATTTTTTTTTAATTAAATCTAGGGCTGACAAAAATTTAAAACTGAAGATGGCAAGTTGTAAATATTGTATTTTGCCATGCACCCTATTTTACATCGTCCCTGCAAACCCTATGGCTACGTTCATGCAGCCTGAAGTGACACAAAATCAACTTTTTTGCCCTAGTGTGACTTGTAGCTAATCTTTTTAGTGTTCACAACACAGATCAGATCTTTTCAAATGCGACCTGACTCTCAGGTCACATTCATCCGATCTGCACGTCATTGATATTTGACAACCACCACTATTCTGCGTCCTGCTGTGCAAAAGAAAAACAATAATCATTGAGGACAATAATACAGAGAACATTCATTGGAAAGAAAGCAAGGTTTTGACCTAATTAGTATTTCTTCAATAAGTTTTTTTGTATTTAAACCCAGGTCAAACTTGATGGATCCTATGGGAACGCAATAATTTGTTTATGTATTTCCCAAGAAATGATTGGGTGTGGAGTTCAACATTCCTGCCTCCGATAGCAAAGACAAATAATGAGCCTCGGAGTCAAATAGAGGGAGACTAAAGGCTCAAACAAAGCGGCAGTGAACATGTCACTTGTCCGTTTTATGAGGAGCTAGGCCGCAAAAAATGAGCATTCTTGATACTTGTGACATTATTCCATTCTCTACTGCGCATTCACTTTTAGGTTAGTTTGCAGTTCACACTGGATACTACAAATGAGTTTGCATGTATTTGGAAATGTGAATGAAAACACAAAAAATATCATAGAAAATCTAACTTGGGACACTCCAGGTTGGAGTGTCAATGTAGTTTATTTCTACAGTGATAGATTAGGTTAAAAAAATGAAAGGATTTTGAATGTAGAAACTGCTCCTTTCAAAATACTATTACAGACTGAGTCTTCACCTTTATATTTATCTGGGAATGTGAGTAAAATGGTTGTGATATAAAGGTTATGGGATGTAACAGATGACAATCATTCTGTAGCAGAAACTTACTTCCTATCAAAACTAAATAATTTACTCAGAAATGCAATTAAGTTAATGTGCATAACACTAATTGTCAAGTTATTCCAAGGCTATTATAGTCCACAAAATGAAAAATCCAGAGTGACTGAGATTATGTAATGTAACACACTACTGGCTTTTTATAGAAAAAGATTGCCTCCTGTCGGCATGGTAAAATTATGAACCTATAAAATATAAAAAACCTAAGACATTTGTTTTAAAACAAGATACAACTTTTTAAAAAATAATTCATCTTAAACAAAAAAGGGATGTTAAACACCTTTATAATTATCAGTGTGCCTGCACGATGTCAAAACTGGAATATTCAAGATGTTAACTGCTAAATGCACATGATTGACATTTATGACAACATTTTTAATGTACAGTTTCAGAAATTTGTTCCTATGATATTGAAAAACAAAACCTTAAGAAATGTGCATTTTTCTGGTTTGGAAAAATTGATAGATTTGTCACTTCATACATTTTCCACCCACTGCCGTTTATAAAATCCTTCCAATAAAACAATGAGTTGGATAATATATATAGCAGTCTTTAAAATCATGCCCAGCTCAACTGAGGTCTTTGCTTTAACCAGACCATTTAAAAGTTTCTCCTTAAACCTTTTGGTTATTGCTTTAGCAATTTCCTTGGAGTAATTGCCCTGCTAGAAAATTAAGCTCTGGGGCAGTCTCACTCCTCTGGAATCCAAATTGATTTTTCAAAACGTAAAAAAATAAAAAAAAAAAAAAAAAAAAAGACACAAACGTAAGTTGTTATGGCAGTTTTATTCATTTAAGGACTTTTACAAGACTGCTGGAAGGTTGAAGTTCAGTCAACCACGTCACTCTGAAAGACAAGACAGACAAGTGAAAATAAAAACTACTTTGTCAATAGATCACGGGGGGGGGGGGCTAATCCGTTACCTTTCCAGAGCGGTTGTCCTTTAGATTCAGATAAGTAAGTTTCTGATGCAGGAATGTGGTCAAAAATGTCTTCGGAGTATTTGGCATGGGAGCGGGAATCCCTTGCTCGTTGGTAGCCACTGCTGAAGTGAGCAGTATGGGATGCAGGATACAGAGGACGTTTCTTAACCGTGCCCAAGGGAACATGGCTAGTCCTCCACGCTTTAGCAAGTGGCATCTGACGAACACTTAGCAAGTTACTCCCCAACAGGGAAAGCTCTTGGCCAACCTCAAGAGGGCCAGCCTGAAAGCCTCCGAACCCACCAGACGTGCCTGCCTGAAAGTCACTAGACCCGCCCGCCTTAAAGCCGCCAGACCCCCTTGCCGGAAGGTCTCCAGACCCACCAGGGCTGCCCGTGGATTGGTCTCCAATAGAAAACCTTTGTCCACGCCAGGGCCTGGATGATGCCACATTAGGGGTTCCACTACTTGACCCGGACTGGGATTGTTCGGGGATGCTAGGAGTCATGTCAGTTCCCAGGTACCAGGCTCTCGCTGGATCTTCGTAATTAAGATTCGGGCCAAAGCCTCTTGGGCCAAATGGAGCAGAGGAATCAGAATGTGCACCGACAACTCCAGGCAGGGAAGGAAACAGCATTCCAGTGGGAGAGTCTTCAGGCTGAAGGTTTACAAATGAGCTCGTAGAATCAGTGTAGGGAAACCCAAAAGCTGGATAAGACATGGAAGGTTACTCTTTTTAAGATATTTTATTAAAGATCAAAACACATATGTAGCTTATCTTAAATGCACTGGAACAACAAAAAACAAAAATAAAGCTTGATAGTGTGTCAACAAGAGTGTGCTAGAAGACCACTTGTGATTTTTAGAAGCGTTTAAGACATCATGACTCACCTGTAGGAAGACAAACAGCAAAGCCAAAAAGTAGGCATATCCAGGAAACCCTGTAACATGTAAATAGTTATGTTCTGACCTCACAATGTAGTCAGAATGTCTCAAAACCTCCATTAACTGACCTTTCAAAGTATTTCATTACCATGTTTACCTCACAATAGTAGCACGGCCACAACAACTTGTCGTTTGCAGACAAAAGCTGCTCTTATAAAAGGATTTCTAGTTGCAATGAATTCATTAAAGACACCTGGAGTCTAATCAGTGGCTGGAGATGCATAGCCTGTTTTTAGCGACAGAAAAACACACAACTATGTTCTCACATGGAAATTTAGCTCATCAGGTTCTCAGCAAAATGATTCTCTGATGTTTTTTTAAGAAAAAAAAAAAAAATTAAAGCTTAGTCTTCACAAACAAATGCAATGGTGCTGCTAGGACCTTACCAGCTATTTACTATCAATTATCAGGGAACTGCTTTGTTCTAAAAAAGGGACACTATGACTTTTATTCAAATTGATCATTTAAATAGTATATTTTTGTCAGTCAGCATATGATCCCCTTTACAGATAATTATGCTCTTACTGGATATACCAAATTGAAAATAATAGTAGAAAAAGTTATTTCATGGTAATTTGTTCATTTAATTTCTACATCTTAATCCATGCTGCTACCACACTGTCTTAAATACCTGTATTGTTTATTTTTCAGATCCCAACTCCATATTACTGAAAACCCTTTTTTCTCAGCTTTTTTCAAATTTACAGTTCATATTTATATATATATATTCAATTATCCTTAGTATTTATAACCTAACCTTCATACAGACCTAGCTGTTCCTGGTAGCCAAGCAACGACATTTCGTTTTCAAATTCACTATGTGGCATTGTACAATGAAAATAAAGGAAGTCTAAGTATAAGTCTAGGATATATTTTTTATTAGAAGTCAGAAGTTAACATGAAAGACGTGACAAGGGAAAAAGAATTCTGAAGATCACCCAAATATGTCATCATGTAATATTCTTAGAGAATATTACTTATCAAACTGGTCCCTGAAGGCCACATGAATGCGATTTGACATCGGAGGTGTGTGTGTTAGCTATGCAGTGTTTACCGTAGCCAGGGATATTGGCTTTTTTTTTTCTTCAAAAAAAGGTAAAAGCATAGTTGGCCCAACTTATATATATTATATTTCAATGCAAACGATACGTTTCGCAATGCGAAAAACTTCGCGTGGTTTGGGATTCGAGCAACCTGCTCGAAGTATGCCAGAAGTTTAAGAGCGACTTGAATGATGATGGTCCCTCCGCGACTGGAATTAGGTCGCGGAGGCAAGTATAATTGTATCATTTGTATTTGAATTGTACTGCCATTCTTTCTTGTTTCCCGCCACGTTTTGTTGTGATGTGCGTTTTTTAACGAGGTAACATTATCGTGCATGTCTACGTTTTCAAATGTTATTCAAGTTTTAGCCCGCGGAGAAGAGGTGGCAGCTTTTCCAAACTAGCGTTTGAGTTTCCCGGGTTTCGCTGCTTCTGCTGTGGATTTGTTTGGGAGACGGTTCCTGCCCGGGTTGTCCAATCGTGATCAGGGGAGATATCCAAGGGCCACGTCGGGGTTTACTCACCTTTAGTCAGCGGTGGAATCAGAAGATTCGGGATCTTGGTCACACACAGCAGCTTTAGTTTGAGTAAGGAAACCATGAAAGTTTCAAATGTAGAGTTCAAATGAACTTTTGTACAAGCAGAATTATTGACTGATCTTGAGAGGTTATAGAGCACCACAGCTGCTGATGCTTTTTTTTTTTGCAAGACATGGAATACTGGAGACTGTTATAATTTAGGAAGGGTCCACAGTACAGATTATAGTTTGAGATTTTAGCAAGCACATGAGGATTCACGCGTGTTACTTCCAGGTCTCTCTAATGAATGGCTTGGTTTAAAAATCTTCACAGGTCCCTTATGCAAAGTTATGGAAGCTGATCATACCTGAGTATGCTTAAGTATTGCACTAACCCAGTGGAAAACCTTAAATCACCTGTTCAGCTGCTTTTGAGCTGCTCAGACAGGACTCAATCCTGACTAAAATGCATCAGCAGCTGCAACCCAAGATCATCAGACACAAAGAGGACACACAGACGACATCAGCAGAAAAAAACAAAACAAGGTCACCTAAGCCGATGTCGTGATCGCAAGAAGGACAGTGTATCCAGTAGAAAGGCTGCTGGAAAACAGCAGTTGTCACGTGTTCAGAAAGGTACTGCCACTTGTGCACCTCAGAAGGAGGACAAAAAATTATTAAGAAAAAGACGACACCTCCTGGATACAGATGAAACACTCTTTTAGTCTTCAAATCTCATCTTGATATGCTCAATATGCCCCAGAGGAAACACGGGAGGCAGCCCCAGAGCCTGTGTGGTATCAGTCGAACCCAGAACTGAATTGGATTTACAGGAATATGCCAATGGAATAAGACACTGTCATTAATACTTTGTTCTACTTAAAATATTTTTATGTAATATCTAAGATAAACTAAGTAACAATTTGTTTATCAAATCCTTGCTTTATTACAATCATAACAGGCACATTTATTTTCCATACATTTCAGCAGGATTTTACTTTGCATAGAAGAGCATTACGTGAATGTTATGTTTTTCTTTTTAAAAACAGGGAAAGTGTAAAAATCTTATAAATCTTAAATATGTTCTCAGACTGGTCCCGAAGAGCACATGAACGTGACTGGCCATGTGACGTGTGTTAGCAAGTCAGTTTTTACCATTACTATATACATATGTGACCATATGGTCATGCATTGCATTGGTCAACTTGACCAAGGGTCAGAAAAAAAGACATTTGGGGAATGATCATTTTCGTGCCATGCATCCGCATTTTTACAATAGACAATTGTAAACTGGCAACTTTGATTATGGTTTCAAGCAAAAAGAGTATGAGCCTCTTGTCTTTATCCTGCTTTTATGATGTCTTCATATTATGATAAATCTTTTTATTTTCTACCTTTAATCCCCCCTTAAAAGTATTATAATTTTTACTTATCAATGCTTTCAGGGTTTCCTCTGAAACACTGATGAAAAATGCTAAGAAATATTGGTTGGATTCCAGATCACGTTCAGTTGCGCTTGTGTATAGGGGTCAGAAGAAACATAGAGAAGAGGCAGGAAGACTTTAAATATGGTTCTTCAGTTGGAAAATGTCAGAAAACATTGTCAAGCCATGTAGCTCAATAGTAAGAGATGTTGACAGCCAAACATGAAGTCTGGTGGTTCAACTTCTGGTGTCTTCAAAGCACATGTTAAAGTGTCCTAACATTGCATTCTGATGTGTCTGAATCAGTTCACGTACTAGAAATGTGCTGTAAGTAAATACAGTCCTTTAATATTTCCTTTTGGGGGCAGACATCTGTCTATAGTTGCAGTGAAGTGTTTTTGATCAGGGTCTCTTATCACACGTAGAACAACGTTCTAAGCTTTCATTTACATTTTTTTTAATAAATGAAAAAATGAGAAAGTATTGATCTTAAAAGTAAATAAGCAATTTGGGTGAGGTTGAAAAATCTATCTCTTAGCTAATGGTCCCATTTAATTTTCTTAAAATATTTAAATAAAAATATTAGCTGGATCACATAATTCATAAAAAAGGCAAATGTAAGCACATTTGATGAATTACCTCTCTAATGTCTAGGTTGCCAATTATTACTCCTAAAGAAATGCAAAAATATTTTTTTTTACAAAGCCATAACATTAATCAAAATCTTTACTGGAGTGCCACTGGCAGAATAAGCTGTCACACCTCTGTCAGCATAGCTGGAGATGATTAATTTTTTTTCCACCTCTGTACCACATATCAGTTATTATCAGCAATTGACTATTTTAACTGCTTGGTTTAAAGTAACAGGAATAATTTATCATTTACATTTTGGGGACCCATCCACTTTTCACTGTGTCTATTACCTGACAGTGACATTTTTAGGAGACGTAAAAATCCTTTTCATTAAAATGTAATGAATTGATAATCCATCTCCCTCAAAAAGTTTAAAGAATGGATTCTGTGGATTTGACTAAGCAGGAGTATTAAAACCTGGATTGCTTTTTAATCTACTTCGAAATGAGGTGGTTTCAGTTCGGATGCCAGAACTTTCTAGATGAATTCATTTTATTGAGATAGCTCTCATCAGTTATGATTTCCAGATTTTAAAATCTTGCTTACTTTATGGAGTTTAGTGATCTTTACAGTTATCACTTTCTTCTTTGCAGTCTATGCTGAGGGCCTAAGGGAGTTTCTTGCACTTGATCTGTTGCAATCAGTTTTTAACGTTCTCACGTGTTTCTATTTTGTCCTTTTCACCAAATGGTCACCTTCTCAATTCCATGCAGCTTCTGCAAGATTCTAAATAAAATCTGCAATGCGTATTATTGTATTACAGTGGGAACAGGTAAAGCAAATAGATGACGTTTTGCCAACTAAAAGACCCCATTTCAAAACCACAATGCATGCATTCCGTTGATAACTTTTCACTAATTTAGCTTTCATTACTTTTTTATACCTTAAATTTACTTGGTTAGAATTAAGAGCCAGGCCATTTGTGATAACTGATGGTCACACTAACTTGCTCATTTAAAAAAACAAACACTTTTAAACTTTTGTTTTTGCTAATGGAGTTGTCACTGTGACGAACAAACAATGTTCTGTTTGATTTAGTTCTGTTTCATTTGCTTCAAATCATGTCAAAAGTGCTGTTAGTTGTAAGTGTTCAGGAAAAAATAATCAAACTAGTCTTTGTTAGTCTGCTCACTACATTATTTATCTTTTGGGGACATAGTACTGTCTTTTTCCATATTCCACCACAAAAGTTGAACTTCAACTTCATTTTGAAAGCAAACAAAAATATATTGAAGCTTTGTTCTTATCTGATAACAGAAACATAACTTTTAAAAAACTTTTAGCATCCCTCTCTGCATTATTCTGACTTATTTGTAAAAGACACCAAAGCACTTTCAGTGCCATCTACAAGAATTCCGGTGTGATGAATAGTGATAACCACTATGAGCTAATTGATTTTTTATCCTATCACAACTGGATGTGTGGTGGGTGGTAACATTTAATTTGTAGATGAAAAAAATGAATACATTTCCTTTGAATCACAGACATTTTTAAGCTGATTCAGTCTCAACTATCAGTAGGGACAGTGTGCTCAATCTTAAGCCTGGCTATTGTTTCTGTGGACAGATCCTGAGTAATGGTTGAGGGTGGAGGGAACTGAGTCGTTCGGTCATTCTTTGCTAAAAACCACATCCATTTTTTTGTCTTGTGAAATCAATTTAAAAACCGGCGGCAGATCAAATAGAAC